CGCCAGGAGTGGCCCCCGCGTCCCGGGGTGCGCTGGGGGGCCCTGCTGACCAGAGGCCAGGCCGGCGGTCCCAGAGGGCAAGGTGGGCCTCTCCGGGCCAGCATCCCTCTGCAGAGTGGCCTGGCCAGGGCCGTGGCCGCCGTGGGAGATGGTGGCCGCATGGACTCCCGGGAGGGGCCAGGCGGGGCAGCCCAGCTGCTGGGAGTGGCCGAGGGTGCAGAGGCCACGTGGCGGCCACCCCACACAGCAGGGTCTCGTGCAAGATGCAAGAGGCGGGTCTCAGGGTGGAGCCTGGGAACGTGCACCCCGCACAAACAGGCCTGGGGGCTCCCTGCGGTGCTGTGTGCAGGGGGCTGCAAACCCTCATTCTTGGAGCGCTGCCCGCTGGGCAGGCTGTGCCTTGCTGGCCAGGCCTGTCTCATGGGCGCTGACTACTCTGGCAGATGGCGGTGCACAGGCAGGGCCGACTTTGCCATGGGTCAGGCAGTGGGGCCTCCCCCCGGAGCCCCGCAACCCTGCAGCTCTTCTTGTCCGGTGGATGTGGGGGACACCAGGTCTGGGGCTGCCGGCCAGACTCAGGAGCCCGGCAAGGAGCAGGCTGGCCCCCTGGGCCGCTCTGAACAGCTGCCCACCTGCCTGGGCGGGCGTCTCCTCGGGCTGTGTGGGGCCCCGAGGTGTCCCCACATGCCTGGCGCCCTCGGCAGGATGAGCACCGACTGGGCCCAGGGGCTGGTCCAGCAGCACCGCGACAGCTGGGGACACGGAGGCTGCAGCACGCGGCCCCTCCAGCCCAGCCCGCGGGGACACTGCAGGCTCCTGTCCCACAGCCTCCAGGAACAGGTCAGCCTCAGCCGGCCCGGGGCGGCGTGGGGGTGAGCGCCTGTCCTCTGCATGCGCCCCACAGGGTGAGCCCTGAGCTCCGTTTATTTTACCTTTTCCTCCAGTTCTTTTATTTGTCTCTTCTGAGCTTCTAGTTTTTCTTCTAACTCTTTAATTCTCTGCAATATTAAAGCAGGAGCATCTTCAACAACCAGGGTATTTGGGGGAGCGAGTGAAAAAGCCTTTTAAGTTTTCTGCTCACCTTGGGGCGATTCATCACCCAAAGGCACGCCCGCCAGCGAGCCCGGTCCTGCAGGCCCCGCCCCAGCCCCGGCCCCGCCCCCAGCCCCAGGCTCTGCCCAGGCTCAGCTCTGCCCCAGGCCCCGACCCCTCCCCCGCTGGTCCTCAGCTCTCCCTCCCTCTGCATTCCTCTTTTGGGACGAAAATAGTTTTCAAAGGCTGGGCGGCCAGGCCTGAGCTGGGGGTGCTCCCTTCACACACAGAGTCGGTGGGACCCCACTTCAAGGCGGTCTGTGGCCAAACCCAGGGACGTCTGTGTGACAGCTGGCAGGTGACAGCTGGCAGGCAGCTGTCCGAACAAGGTCAGAAGCAGCAGGGCGCTGGGTGCCCCAGGGTCTGGGCTGAGGGTGAGGGCAGCAATGCCAATGCCCAAGCCACCACACCTAGTGTTTGTAACTGTGCTGACTTTACAAGGCACCGTACTCCAGGTAGACGAAAGGCAAAGGATTTGGGG